GAGAAGAGAAAACTTATAATATTACTTTGAAATTATATTATGCTATTCGATGCTTAGTTTGTCGTTGGAAGAATCCTTGACATTATCGTGTGGAACAAGCGGCTTAGCCTTCATTTAATATTTTCTTCAATTATCGCGACTCATAGATATAATTATAATTGCTTTTACGGTTTAATATTGCATAAGTAGACGCACAATATTCAGATATCGACCGATAACAAACAACAACTTGTCGTTCATAGCCATGGTAACTGAAATATTAAACACGTCGGAAATAATAAAACGTGAATGATAAAAATGAGATAAACCAGAAAATAATTTTTTAATTTTCTTTTAGTTTATCTTACTTACTGATTGATATCTTTATCTTAAGTTCGCTTTGATTTGCGATAATTTGTTCTTTCGTTTGTCATTATTGTGGTTGATTCTCGGAAGTATCTTTTGTTACATAAAAACGACATAGCTTCATGAATATCTACGCGAACGAAGATGAGTGCGAAGCTTGTACCTAATAATTATAAAATACGAATTTTAATAACTTTATCTATTACCTGGACGTCGGGTCGGGGGGCTGTTGGTGTTCTTTGTTAGTTTCGATCATTACAGAAACCTGAAACAATCGTAATAATATTAAATGTAACGAAATACATATAATACATTTAGGCACCAGGGAACACTAAGTTCTTTTAAAGCAAATTTAAAAGTATATCTTCTGAATATGCAAATAAAATTCGAAAATATCAATTTTAACTATTCCGTGCTGTAATTGTGCACTGCAATTGTAATTTTTTATAATTTAGTATATGTATTTTATTGTTTTTATTGTTGATGTTGCAGTTATTGTTGTTATGCCGGCGGAAGATCAGCGCCCCAGTACCGATTGTCTCGGTACTGTTAGGCATTGCTGAGCCGGTAACCCTTTCCAAGCCTCTTTATTTTGCTTTTAATTTTTTTTTTTTTTTTTTAAATTATTGTTTGGAATAAATGATTATTATTATTATTTATTCCGTAGATTTCTGAGAACGATCCGTTAGGTCCATAACAGATTTCATAATTTGCAGTCTCGTTTGAAGGATTCTCAATTTAACCAATATAGCGGTCGAGTGCGCTCAGCTCAGCTGTTAGTGTCCCGCTAACACGAATCCAGATGACCCAAATGTAGTGGCGACCCGTTTGCGGGCCACTACACTCGTTAACTCTTTCATATACTAAGCGCGCAACAATGGTGATCCGGATTGGCTGGTCGCATGAATACATTCGAACCTCCCGTAAAATACTGTTTATAGCCACACTCAAACGCGGCTACATTTGGCACCTGCGGCCGCAACGAAACATTCTCTAAGTTGAATACTTTATGTGTGAAGGCTTATAAATAAAAATCGTTTTCGTGACAACTGTGAGCGCCCAATTCGTATCATTAACATTGAAAGAGAGAATGGAACCCGATAATGGCGTATGTATCTGAAGGTATTTTTGTCTATCGATTCCGAGAGCACTGTTGGGTATTCCAAACGTTTTTAAACGAATAAAGCTTTTTCCTGCTGAATCGAAATATCCGTTTTTGTTTTATTTTTAGTAGTACTGTATCGATGGGGAGTTATGAAAGAGGAGAGAATGTAGATAATTCGCAGAGGGAGTCGAAACAAAGGTATCTCTGGCACGCGACCTACATCCTCCAGTCCCGTTTGATATCGATATAAGCTTGCTGTGGAGTAACATGTACCACTCGTGAACCGGCATACAAGGAAAACTTGATAATAGAATCAAGATACCACTATCAAAATTTCCCTGCAATTGTAAACAAGATTAAACTCTTACCAATATTTTGGAAATTTATCTTGAAAGAGAACAAACAGTGCTTGAAGCTTCTTTTTATGATTTCACATTGCTTAATAGATAATTTTTATTTTATTTTAATAGTTTCATTCGCACGCACATAACTGTCGTGTCAGTTGCATAATAATATTATTATTGCATTGCATACGTTAAACACAAAGTCTGTGGAAGTATCCTGCTGTGTGGCGCTCTGGCCCAGTTAACCACTGACAATGGAGCGAGCCATTAGACTCGACCATGTGTATTAACCAGTTTAGTTTTTGTTTGTTTTTTAAACGGCGAATGCACTGAAAAATAGAATGAAACTAGGAATCAGGTCGGATGTTTCTATGGCGTATATTGTACATGCGCATAATGAAACTTCGCACGTTTAGTTTGTGTTGATTGTTCGCTCTCTCTCTATTATTCAAAGTAAACTGGCATAAATCAATCCACACGTACCTATATAATATACATACGTACCGTGAAACCTGGCGACTTTGCCAAAGGTTGTTAAATTTGCCATGACCCGACTTATAAGACAAAATAATTTATAACGTCAAAACTTTATGTTTCTTAACGTTTGCAATAACTTTGAAATAATTTTGAATATTTTGTTGGCAACATCTTATTTTTTTTGACAACCCAGATTTGAAAAAATTGACATTTTTGGCCGTNTATAAATTGAAATAACATTAAATTAAACCACGAAAATAACCTGGAAATAAACTGCAAACCTACAGAATATGTAGGTACTGAATTAGGAGAATAGCCTCCAGATATTCATCTTTCCGTACGAGTACCTATTGTTAACTATATGAAGTGTAAGATTCAGATTAAGTCTTCTACTCTCATATAACAATATTTTTACATAAATAAATATTTGATATAGCGCTTTGTTTGAATTATAGTTTATTCCTTTCATTGCTCTTGTAGGTTAAATGAGCTACACTTTCTTAATTCAATTCAATTCGCATAAAGTGTTGTTATGTACTGTGTGCTTAGTGCGAGTTTTTTAACGTTTTCGATAGCGTAAAAGTTAGCTCATATTTGTTTGGAACAGGATCGTTTTCCTACGTTTGCCGTTAGGGGCGCTGTTCCAACTGTATACAAAATTGGGTTGACTTTTACGCTATCGAGAACGTTAAAAAACTCGCACTAATCACTCTGATCGCAACTGAGACGAAATATGCTGCCAATAATTATGATAAGACGCTAGGCGTACTAATAAGCATAGAATGAAATAAGTAAAGTCGTCGTGGCCGGCCAGATTACCCTCTTTGGTCAACCATACATACATACGGCATACGGCCCACCATCAGGTGGGCCGTATGCTCGTCTGCCTACAAGGGCAATAAAAAAAAAAAAAACCATTACCTACTCGGGGCCGTGAAGGTCAGTTACCTAAAAGTCACACTCGATAGAGGGATGACCTTTTCATAACCCGACCCTCCCGACCTCCGATGGCGGAATAGCTAACAACCGACGTCGCACGCGACATGTCCTTTCGGATCCTCTCAGTGCTTTTAGGCATTCAAGTTCCGGTCACTTAACTCATAGACACAACCCACAATTTCTCATCGGATAACCTCATTGCGTCCCGATTTTACTTAATCAGGCAGTAAGTAGATTCAGCGAAGCATTACACGTCATCTCGGATCTCTCCCTCTCCCGATCCACTAACGGTGCTGCGTCGTATTCCCCAGTGCTGAGGGTCGTGACCTTTACGGAGCACTTTTGTTAGGACTATGTTCCTGCATTCATTCCTGTCCTCCGCGCAGTGGATAACGACATTATGCTGGAGTCCAAAGTCGTCTTAATCCGATCGGACCAGCGCATGGGACTACGCCCTCTAGGCCTCTTTCCTTCCGCTTTGCCGGTGATGAGAAGTCTTTCGAGATTGTCACCCTTTTTCTTTGCAACGTGACCGAAAAACTATAAAATCCGATGTAGGCAAATGGTGGAGTCTTGTAGAGACGCCTAGTTCTTCCAGGATTGATGCGTTTGTCCGGTGCGCCGTCCAGGGAATCCGCAGCATTTTCCTCCCGCACCACATCTCAAACGCGTCGACCCGACTTCGATCAGCCTTCTTCAGAGTCAGAGTCCATCAAGCTGAGACATGGCACTTTTTGCTATCCCGATACGTCTTCATATCTCCGGCTCGCGCGATCCAGTATTCGCAATCATGGAGCCCAAGTACCTATATGAATCTTTCCGTTGTTTCAAGATGCAGTGACCCCGTGTGCTCCAGTTTGCTCATGGGGTCTATTACCATCACTTTTGTTTTGGATCGGTTAATTGCAAGACCAAGTTCGAGGCAAATTTTTTCAAGCTTGCTCATGAGAACAGCCGCTTTCATTAGTCGCGAGGAGAGTGTGTCGTCGCCAATGTATCGGAGGTTGCTCAATGTTACTCCACCAATTGTAACTCCACCATCCCAGCCTTCACAAGCCAGTCTCATGATATACTCCCCATAGATATTAAAAAGGACTGGTAATAATATGCAGCCTTGCCTTACGCCTTTCCTAAATTTAAAGGGAGCAGAGATTGTTTCTTCTACTCTAACGATTCCATAGTTATTAATTTAACATTAAATTCAATAAATAACATTTATTTAATTTAAGGTTAACTGAAACGTAATCTCTATAATATTCATAAACAATAAATAAAAGTCATTTCCAATTCAACAAAGTGAACAACCCAACAAAAGCATTGTGACAACCCAAATTTGTCCCTATTCTATCCCTTGTCTTCTGGCCTTTGTCCCTATTCCCCCAATCCATTGTACAGGAAAATATTTTTGCACTGAAGCTATGTCTGTTACCGTGAAACCTGGCGACTTTGCCAAAGGTTGTTAAATTTGCCATGACCCGACTTATAAGACAAAATAATTTATAACGTCAAAACTTTATGTTTCTTAACGTTTGCAATAACTTTGAAATAATTTTGATTATTTTGTTGGCAACATCTTATTTTTTTTGACAACCCAGATTTGAAAAAATTGACATTTTTGGCCGTTACATTTTTCAACTGCTAAGTTCGTGGTAACTACGTGCTCCAGAACTTCAGTGTAAATAAGTGAGTTTTATGTTTTGTAGGTAAGTTAAATTTTAAAATAACATTCTTAATAGTGTTTTTTTATCAAAGTTANGTTACATTTTTCAACTGCTAAGTTCGTGGTAACTACGTGCTCCAGAACTTCAGTGTAAATAAGTGAGTTTTATGTTTTGTAGGTAAGTTAAATTTTAAAATAACATTCTTAATAGTGTTTTTTTATCAAAGTTATGGTAATTTACGTTCTATAAATTAATTTAGTCTTAAAATCACTGTTGGCAAATTTGCTAACCAGATACAAAGTTTTGGTGATGTAAACTTTGCCATGTTTTCTATGAGGCTAGGGCTGTCACAAAAATATTAAAAAAAAAAAACTTTTATTGTTACTTAATTTCAAATCCAAATTATCATACTTCTATTATTTATATGGATGGATAAGTATTTGTTACTCTTTCAAGTAAAGACTACTTAACGGATTTTGCTCAAACGTAGATAACTATATCCTATATATTATTCTGATCTATAAAATAGTATCACATTAAGAGCTACGAGCTTAGAGTAGTAACCATGAACGCTATCACGGCAAAATCATGGGAGTCAGCTAATATAAGTATAAAATATTCAATTATTTTCATTATATCATTCTAGAACATGGGCGGTAGCCGTTCAAGACGTGTGCTGGGGAGTAGATCCTATAAAAATTATTCGGCTCAAATGTTAGACACCGCAGTGGATCTGGTAAACCGCAAAATTATTTCATCTTTAGAGGCATCAAAGCAATTTCTAATTCCCAGAAGAACAATAGACAATAAAGTGAAAAAGAAACACCCAAAAAAGCCAGGAGCTCAGCAACGACTTACTGCTGCCGAAGAACTAGACATAATAAAAGTACTCACCGCGGCAGCAGATTTTGGGTCACCTGTATCGAGATTGGAACTTAGGCTCATCGTCCGCACATACTTGAACAAAAATAATAAGGGGCATTTGTTTAAACACAACCTTCCTGGAAAGTGGTGGGTTAAAAATTTTTTGAACCGCCATAAAGAAATGCTAACAGAAAGAGCCGTGCAAAACATTAAAAGAGTTCGCGCTTCTACTAATACTGATGACTTTGAAAATTATTTTGAAAATTTACGTAAATCTCTTGATAAAATACCGGCTAAAAACATTTTAAATTATGATGAGACTAATCTCTCGGATAATCCTGGTTCAACGAAATGTATTTTTAAACGTAAAGTAAAATATCCGGAACGTATAATGAATACTTCCAAAGGAAATATTTCTATAATGTTTGCTGCGACGGCGGATGGTACTCTGTTACCTACATATACCGTTTATAAGGCTGAGCATTTATGGACAACGTGGTGCGAAAATGGGCCTGGCAAAGCGCGATATAACAGGAGTAAATCTGGTTGGTTCGACTCGACAGTTTTCCAAGACTGGTTTAATTCAGTTATCATACCATGGGCAGACAAACTGGATGGTCCAAAGTTGATTATAGGCGACAATCTTTCAAGCCACCTTAATATTGATATAGTCAGTAAATGTGAAGAACGGAACATAAGATTTACTTTTTTACCACCAAACTCAACTCATATATCCCAACCACTGGATGTGGCATTTTTTGGTCCCTTAAAAAGAAAATGGCGCGATATTTTGACCCAATATAAAATACATAATCCAGCAGAACCTCAAATTAACAAAGCCCACTTCCCCATGTTGTTAAAATCTCTATTAGAGGCTATAGAAATAAATAGTAAAGCAAATATCTGCGCTGGATTTAAGGCAACAGGCATAGTGCCTTTTAATCCCCAAACAATATTACGAAAGATACCCGATTATGAAGAGCAAAACAATTATACAATCGATACCGCGCTCTTAGATTATTTGAAAGCCAATCGTACAGCGAACCCTCTACAAAAATTAAGAAACAAAAAATTAAATATTACTCCAGGTAAGTCTATTTCCTCTCAAGAAGTTCAGTTATTCATGACGAAAAAGAAATCTAAGTTATCTAGAGAAACAAATCGAAGTAACATTAACGAAGCTCAACAAACTTTTCTTGATCTAGAAACGAATCTTGATGCAGAGCCAGTGATCGATGAGCCTAATTCAAAAACCCGACCAAAGGTTACTATTCTTTCAGAAGTCAGATTTAGTCCATATAATTGCGCCTATGCAGATTTGACAAAGATGCTTCCACAGAATCTTAAAAAGGTAGATAAAAGCTACAACATATTCAAATCTGAAAGTAAGGAGAATCTGCCCGTAATTCAACCTGAAGAAGAATTTTTAGAGTACATAGATTACGAAAACCAAATGCCATCAACGTCTGCAGATAATAAAAGGTTGATACTTAAAAAACCGGAGTCATGTAATGCAAAAAAGAAGATAAAGAGAGACAATAGTGACGACAATAGCGAAAATAGTGACAGTTATTCCTTAAGAGATACTTCTGAAGATGAATGTTTTATACCATCGGAATCAGAGTCATGTGAAGATTTTGAAGAACAAAATGTACAAAATACAGTGAAAAAATGTGAAACTCTTCGGATTGATAGTTACGTTTTAGTTAAATTTTGTGGGCCAAAAACCAACAAATACTATGTTGGAAAAGTATTGGATATTATTGATGATTCTGGTATGTATGTTAAATTTATGAGGAACAGAAAGGAAGAATTTTATTGGCCACATATCGATGACATTAGTTATACAGTAAAAAGTGACATCGAAATTATCCTAGGAATCCCTCACGAGGGTCGAAGAGGTACTTTAAGATTTGACTGTATCGACTTTTCAAAGTATAATGTTCAATAATATGGTTATGTGCCCATCGGTATGTCATTTATGATGATTCCTAAATGATTGATGAATGGTGAATGATTTTATAATTAGGTACATTAAGTATTTTCATATTTAATGATAACTTAAAAAAATTTAACCCCAAATTTTGTCTTATGCTTGATTATGTTTCTTGTTACAACTGATTAACAAAGTCTTTGCTTTATCTTGAACACTAAATATTTTTTTTAAATTTCTTGGGCTCTTATCATTTTAGTCTTTGGTTTTACAAAATTATCAAGTTTACCTTACAAAAAAAAATTGATACTTTCCTTTATGTTATTGTGATTTATGTCGATCTCATATCCTCGTTAAGGGTTTTTTTATTTATTGATAAGTTCAAAGATTTTAAGTTCCTAAACACTATCATAAGATTGGATAAGTTTATCATTGTAACTGATTACCAAAAGTATTATTTAATTTATCCTATCTTTATTAAAGCGTATTTTATAACCTATATATTTTAATAAGATAATTTACTGATAGACTGAAAGATTTTATGCTCCTAAGCATTATTTTATACTTGTTTGAATATATGGTTAAAATAACTGATTATACTATGTAGGTACCCTATATTTATTAAAGTTTTTTTTAAAAACCTTAATATTTTTTAATCTTGTGACAACCCTGACTCTCATTTCTATTTTGTTTGAAAAAATCTAAAAAGGGCGGCTAAATTTGCCCCATTGTAGATATTTCCATTACTAGCCGAGAATATGATAAAATTTTAGTATAATTTTACTGTGACCAAGCCTGTGGCAATGACAACAGTGGCATTTTACAGTAATTCCATTTATTTCATTTAAAATTTGGGTATGGCAATCTTACCAAAAGTGACGGTTAACTTTGCCATTTTTGTTTTTGGACTTAAATATCAATTATANCGGTTAACTTTGCCATTTTTGTTTTTGGACTTAAATATCAATTATATTTAAGAAAACAATAGATATTTGGTTACATTTCAACTATGCATAAAATGCACTATCAAGCTGATTGATTGCTTTTTTATATTCTCATAGAGATTTTTTGAGAAAAACCTTTCCAAACTTTTTTATCCGCCAAAAAGTGGCAAAGTTGCCAGGTTTCACGGTACGAATATTGTTTCAGTTTATGAGAATATTTAAGTAATTTGACTCGGTCGCTTCAGATTTGTTTACTTCAAAACTAAATAACATTTCGTGACAAGTCACAAGTCCGTGACAATGGCAACAGTCTTTTGAAAATCATATCGAGCAAGATCGAGGGACTGCTGATTGTATGTATGTGATGTAAGTAAGTGCCTTTGCAGTAGGCACTTACTTACAAGGAGAAAAAAAAATGTAATGGTATAAAATGTATATAATGATAGTTATGTGGTAGATTTTTTAAGTTACTAACATAGATTATAAGTAATTCTTACTAACAAAATGTTATGGTTTAAAAAAGAAAAAAGAAAACTGAAATAAAGTATTAATAATAATAATAATAATTTCTATTTATATTATCGAATTAATATTGCACAACCAGTATTTCGACGAACGAAGTTTTATAACATTTAATTTAATTTATTATGAGAGCTTAACTAAATAACTGACAGAATGAGGCAGAAGTTAATAGGATTTGTAACGATTATATTTTCCGACAGAATACCAAATCTGATAATGATATTCAAAAGCGAAAGTGAATAGCATAATAATAACATTCAGTTTAGGGAAACGTTTTTTTATACAATAAAAAAGTTTATAATCCGTAGAAAATTTGTAAATACGAAGTTCGAGTTTTTCCACTCATTTCTCATCGGTCCTTAAATTATTGAATATACAACGATTTACTGATATTCGTTACAGAGTAAAAGTTTGAAAGATAATAATTCGATAATGTTATTTAATTATTATTTTTAGATTTTCCACTGCCGAAGAAAATAATATGTTAAGTAAACGTCAAGTGTATGTGAAGCGTATGTGAAGCATTTGAAGTGTGTGCCAGTTATAGGCAGCCGTAAGACTTTTTGTTACCAATAGAACATCAGGCCGGAGTCCTCTGATATCGGATTAGTCCAACAGATCAGCGTATTAGAACCTCAAGTGTACCATCGTATTGTAATATACGATTTTCACTTGAAGTGAACGCCGGCCACCATCTCAGCTGAATACCTCATTTCAAAGCGCGATTAGACAGGAGAAATCGAAAGCGTTCAAACATCGGTAGTAAAATATCGTGCTTAATATTTTATACCTATTATTTATAGTTAATGAATGAGGGTAGCATTTGCATTAGTCTTTTTTATTTTTTATTGCTTAGATGGGTGGACGAGCTCACAGCCTACCTGATGTTAAGTGGTTACTGGAGCTCATAGACATCTTCAACGAGGCGCGCCCCCCACCTTGAGATACAAGTTCTAAAGTCTCAGTATAGTTACAACGGCTGCCCCACCCTTCAAACCGAAACGCATTACTGCTTCACGGCCGAAATAGGCAGGGCGGTGGTACCTATCCGCGCGGACTCACAAGTGGTCCTACCACCAGTATAAAATAGTTGCAATAGTTATGTTAAAAAAAGCGTAATATTGTGATTTTCGTTTCGCTTCTATTCCCCGACACTGTTTAATATGATTATGTTTAATATATTCAGGGATTCTAAAGAAATTGAAATCCAGAAATAAAATACTATTATCGCGCCATTCATCACTTTGTTACGGTCACAAAATCCGGTAACTACATTGCCGTAAACAGGTAAACAGTCGACGTCGCCCAAAACACGTCATCTCGGATCCTCCCGATCTACTAACGATACTTTAAGGTATCCCAAGCACCAGTCATCGTTCTCGCCGAACCCATCGCTTGCGACGAAGGGCTCGGCGAGTAAATTAACTCACAGACACAGCCCACTGAGTTTCTCGCCGGATCTTCTCAGTGGGTCGCATTTCCGATCCGGTGGTAGATTCTGAGAAGCACGGCCCTTGCTAGCGTGTTAGCAACAACGTCAGGTTTGAGCACCGTGAGGTCACCTACTAGCCCGGTGACGCTCATATAGTCCCTCTAGACCATCAGCTTAACTAGGAAAAAAAAGTCACAAAATGGTCGATACGTTAAAACATCGAGCGGTTTCAATCTTTCAATTCTTACACAAGGAAACAGAATAAAAACCAAGTCCGAACAATGAAGTAGGTCATTTATTTCAAAAGCGCGTAAATGTGTTCGCCCGTAAAAGTTGTTATAGCTCGGTTGCTGTCCGGGTATCCTACGTTGTAAAGCCGAGCGGGACATAGGGGCTTTTACAACCTGCAATCCCAGTACGATTACTTGAATTTCATCGTGAGATCTTACCGTAGTCTCTATCTGTTTTTACAAACGATATCATCGGCCATACCGGATTATATGAGATTACGGTATTAGAAGTAAATTGCAAGTCATTAAATCCGCATGTGTCAGAACTAACTACTGCTCGGTTTTATAGCAGCGGCATTACGTGATACGCATTCAAAGCGAATCGTTTCTGTTATGATAACTTTACTACTTATATGCTACATAAATACTTTATTGGGGTTCTAATGCAGAAATGATTATTATTTATCGTTTTAATCAATAGCAATGGAACAAGTTTATGGCTCACATGCTGATTCCTGTTTACGTACTTGTCACTTTATATTCTTTACTTCTTTTCGGATATACAATCAATATTCCAATATATTTTTTATTTAGATGGGCAGATGAGCTCTCAGCCTATCTGATATTAAGTGATTGTCGGAGCCCATAGACATCAACAACGTAAATGCCACCACCTGAGTTATTCTATGTCTCACTCCTATAGTAGAACAGCTTCCCCACTCTTCAAACGGGAACGCTTTACTGCTTCACGGCAGAAATAGGAAGGGTGGTGGGAAGGGTTTAGTACTCGTCGTGGCCTAACGGATAAGACGTCCGGTGCATTCGTGTTGAAGCGATGCACCGGTGTTCGAATCCCGCAGGCGGGTACCAATTTTTCTAATGAAATACGTACTCAACAAATGTTCACGATTGACTTCCACGGTGAAGGAATAACATCGTGTAATAAAAATGAAACCCGCAAAATTATAATTTGCGTAATTACTGGTGGTAGGACCTCTTGTGAGTCCGCGCGGGTGGGTACCACCACCCTGCCTATTTCTGCCGTAAAGCAGTAATGCGTTTCGGTTTGAAGGGTGGGGCAGCCGTTGTAACTATACTTGAGACCTTAGAACTTGTATCTCAAGGTGGGTGGCGCATTTACGTTGTGGATGTCTATGGGCTCCAGTAACCACTTAACACCAGGTGGGCTGTGAGCTCGTCCACCCATCTAAGCAATAAAAAAAAAAAAACAAAAATCATTAATATATTTTATTTCGCACTAGCTGCCCGGCAGACTTCGCAGCCCGGCAAACTTCGCAGTGCCTCAATCGATAAATAAAAGACATAAACTTTTGTATAAAATAAACTTAAAACAAACAAAAGGAATCCGTGACGAGGGACACATCAAAGGGAGAACAAAATTGTTATTTTTATTTAATTCTTATGGAAGTCGTCGTGGCCTAACGGATAAGACGTCCGACGCATTCGTGTTGAAGCGATGCACCGGTGTTCGAATCCCGCAGGCGGGTACCAATTTTTCTAATGAAATACGTACTCAACAAATGTTCACGATTGACTTCCACGGTGAAGGAATAACATCGTGTAATAAAAATGAAACCCGCAAAATTATAATTTGCGTAATTACTGGTGGTAGGACCTCTTGTGAGTCCGCGCGGGTGGGTACCACCACCCTGCCTATTTCTGCCGTAAAGCAGTAATGCGTTTCGGTTTGAAGGGTGGGGCAGCCGTTGTAACTATACTTGAGACCTTAGAACTTGTATCTCAAGGTGGGTGGCGCATTTACGTTGTGGATGTCTATGGGCTCCAGTAACCACTTAACACCAGGTGGGCTGTGAGCTCGTCCACCCATCTAAGCAATAAAAATAAAAAAAAAACTGCTCATGCGGGATCACAAGTCACCCTACCATCAGTGTATACGATTATTATACCTGTCTTTAGTCTCCTTAATATCCATTTTACATATTTAACGTCTCGTTATAAGTCTATTTTTGTCGAAAAACTGAGGTTGTTTCAGGAACTATGTAAACACTGACATTGTGTCGCACGACGCGCAGACATCAAAAGGCGTGTGTCAAAGACGAGTGTTGCCTCACAGAGGGAAGCATCAGGGTGGCCCCCTTCAATATGTGAACCTGATGGAAGCCAGTTCAAATATTGTGTCTGAACAGTTTAAAAAAATGTGAAACGAAGTTGAAGTTAAACATTAAAAATATTTTGATGTTAAGCTCAAATGAAAACAACGCTGAAATATGATTTACTCAATTCAATTTTGTTAGTGATCAGACTAGAACTAATCGACAAAGGTAGGTT